CTTACTTTTGCTGACAACGGGGGATGGGGGGTAAATAATTGTGATAAATCTGCTTACGTAATACTTGAACATCCTCCACTGGTACCCCGACAGCGGAAACCGTAATATCATCCTTAAGAAAAAACCCCATTGCTAGCAGTATATCATATCAGGTTGACCTCCATACGGTACTCCACGGAAACCATCTTGATAAATTGCGTGAATCGTGAATTTTTATTCGCATATATACAGTTAATGTCCAGGCCATGCTATTAATATGTAAAAAATAAATAATCTATAACGTTGATCACGATGGACTAACTGACTTGACTACATGTTCTTATCACCCTCCACTGGTGGACTCCACTAAGAGGTATCACAGACATTATCATGATGACGTGATACCAATGTTAATGTGCTTATACACGACAGTTACCTCTTTTCATCAAGTAGGTCATCTGCTTGAGGGCCATTTCAGTTGAATGCAAAAACAATAAAGTATATAGGTTTTGTTACGCCGCAATTGATGCCATATAAGACCGAAACAATAGTTTCGTTCCTGCTGCTTTATGACTCGTTCCACACTATGTATAGGTTCATTCCAGGGTTGCCAACCATAAAACGATCTGCATCCTACAAAAAATCGGATTATATCTCTCATATTATCTTTTACCTTATCTGGATGAAAGGCGGTCCTACACCGTGCGTTTTTCAAGAAATTTTTTGCCACGTACAATCACGTTGTGGATTTACCTTCCAGCAATGGTATTTCTTTATTATTCTGTGCATTCTTCATGAAATTTTTTGCCACGTACAATCACATTGTGGAATCACCTTCCAGCAATGGTATGTCCGAATCGATACGATATTGAAATCTGCAAGAAAAGAGCTTATTTCTTCCTAAAAGGCCGGTGACGCATTTGCAATTGCCCTGGTGTTGCGGGTGATAATGTGTGCCGGTAATCACTTAGCGTCAGTTGAGGAGCAAGCTTGTTTATCTACTATGCTATAAAGAATATTCGTAGCTCAGTATCTTGTACAAATTTGTACGAGGCTGACTATGTCGCTCAGCGGTGGTACGATGGGGTAACTGGCCTAACTTCATCATCATCCTTCACTGGTACCCCGAAAGCGTATTCCGCAAGCGCATGCGGATGCACCATTCCTAAAAAATAAAACCCTTGCAGCGAAGACCTAAAATTTGGAATTTATTGAAGTGTCCTCTTATAGTTGGCATCCCTGGTAGATCGTTGAACGGAAACTGTACTCATTGTTAGTGAGTTAATGTTATTTCGCATTATATCGAGTGTTCCCGACGGAGTGGAAACGACTCAGTCGGATACTACGCGCCGCAGAATACGCACCGTGTAACTCGTGCTTTGATGTTGTTTAAACACAATTTTCAATTATAAAAGACTTAAAATTGTGACTTCAAAAGGATCCTACCAATTGTTGTTATAAACTTTGCTAACTAAGTAATTGCAACTATTAAATGATTCACAAGTAACTGCAATAGTGTAGATTTTAATCTGAATCGAATGAGAATTGTCTCCAATTGTGTTACATTAAAACGTGGTCGGAGTTTCGAAGTTTTTAACAATATATATATTTTCAGTGATGTGTATAGAGTTTTAAAGCAATCTGTGAATCTATATTTAAATGCACTAGTCATTGATAGATTCTGCGGTGTAGTGGGGAATGTTACATTCTTTCTGTGTTCATTCATAACAGACTTAGTACACTATAGTTTTCAGTGGAGTGCTATTTTCGAAGCAATCAAGAACGTGTTTCAGTAAAATTGTGAAGTGGTTCTCTATATAAAATGGTTATATGGTATACAGATAAATGTAAAGAAGAGGTGATTTATGTTTATTATTAATATTATACATATAACATACTTTTCAAAACTATTTTTGTAGGGATGGCTTTAAATTTGTGTATTCGCAAATTTTGAGTCGTTTTAAAATGATTATTTTACAACTGTATCGTTTACCGTTTTATTTTGACATTTTACATCAGTTAGATTTTTTGTGAGCCTACTAGAGGAGTTGAATGAGGATATAGTCAGGTCAACTAGCTCATCGTGATTTTATCCGTATTTCTACATTGTGTAACAATAAACATACTCACTTTTCCGTTTATACAATGTTCATTGTGATAACTATTTAAACATATAATTACTTTAATCTATAAACTATATAATTATTATCTTCCTTAAACTATGAAATAAATTTATTAGTCGATATAATTATTTGTACTTCGAAAGAAATAGAAATAATCATTATTTAAACAAACTTAATGTAAGCACATTTGAATAACCATCTTTTTTTATTCTCCTACTCATTCGGAACGCAGACTCATCACCAGAAGAATGAGTCCTGTTCATCTTCTTATAACTTGCGTGTTGCTCTTTTAAATGACTGTTCTAAGAAAATACACATTAATAAGGATTAGGTATGCGACAATAAACATATTAACGAGGATTTGCAAAAGACAGACTCTTTTGCGAAATTTATACTATATTTATATCTTAATACATGAATAATGAGTTTAAACTTGCGTGTTGCTCTTTTGAGTAAATGTTTTTCAGAATGATATTTTTAAGAGTAATTACAATGTACAAATACAAAGATGATAAAGTAGTAGAGACGTAGAAAGTATTAAATGACTTCCGTCCCAACATGCGCAGGAACTGAAGCGATGACCGCATACCTCGACACAACACCATCCGATATGGTTTCAATGATCGCGCACGCCCGCGCAGGGTTAAATGGATGTGACCTCAGTGATGTCGAGGCCAGAGACAACACAAGTGCACACTTTACTCGTCTTTTTTATGTAATTGGAATAACAAACCAGCTGACGTGTACCATAAAGAAATTAGAAACTTGTAACCTTATATACTTCAATTGGAATTTATCACGATGGTTTCCAGGGGGACCGCGTAGGTCAACCTGACATGATATATTGCTAACAATGGGTTCATTAGTCCACATTACTAACCTTACCTCCTCGTACGTATAATATATATGTATTTACAAAAAAAATGTGTAACTATTTATTTACAGATATCAGTTGTCTAGTACCCATAATACAATCTCTGCTTAGCTTGAGACTAGATGGTGCTATGTAAATAATCCAGAGATATTATTTGTATTATAATTTCACTCCTTAATCGTGATGTTAGGTTATAAGGTAGCATCCCTCGATAAATGGGCTATCCAAAACTAAAAGATTTTTTCAAATCCGATCTGTAATACCGGATAGCTTCGCAAACGTCACTATTTGTAATGAATTTGAATAAATAACAGAAATTATTTGATATTCATTCTGTATAGTTACAACTAGAGTCAGAGCGTTGCTCTATATACCTAAATGTTTTATTAGTAACGTGCTCCCGCGTAAATACATAACTTTATGTCCGTCAGGCCCACATTATTTTACGACTGGAAGTGACCTAAAGACCATGTTTTGGTAGAATTATTTGAAAAGGTAGAACTTGTAAAATGTCGTCTGCGTGGGCAGCTCAGTCTATCCTATTTCAGCCGCCAAGAACCGTGCTTTGTAACCTGAGTTTCTGGTTGAGTGATATGTATCATTGAAATTACAGCGTGCGCTTGACACATTAGTACTCCAGAAGCAAACCACAGCGTATAAAATATTGTGTTTGCGTTGTAGAATAAGATTACTAATATTAGATAACGAAATTATAGGATGGAAGTCATGTCATCTCAGTCGTCCGGGACGGCATCGTATATGTTAACGTGATGTCCTAGGTTCTGTTCTTTCATATAGGTGACTGATTACAGGTTCTGTTCTTTCATATAGGTGACTGATTACACTGGCCGTCCAGTGGGTCGTCAGTTTATTTGTCATTCGTTTTATTTCTTTCATATAGGTGACTGATTACACTGGCCGTCCAGTGGGTCGTCAGTTTATTTGTCATTCATTTTAATTCTTTCACATAGGTGACGGATTACTCTAGCCGTTCAGTGGGTTCTCAGTTTATGTCATTTCATTTATATCTTTCATATAAAAAAGTGGGTCGTCAGTTTATTTGTCATTCAATTTATTTTAAAAAAATCCAACATATTCTTTCCATGTCAACACAAATCATACGCAAATGTTTTATTTATTAGCAGCGACATTTCTGCGTCGCTCTATTCAATTTAATATATACAATTTATTGCTAAATCATTATGAAGTTACATTTTACAGAAATAGTTCTGAGACAACATCAGTGTCACGGTTTTCCCTGACATCAAACAGAACATATCTCTGACGCGCGTTTCCACCAGCAAACATCTGTCCATCAAGTTTTATACCGTGTCCCTCATGTAAATAAAGGCGCCATTCCCATATCATGTGAATAAATATAGCCGTTCTATCTGACCTAACTTTTCCACTGAAGTTTTAAGGCAAACTCTTGGGGGAGGAATTATTAGTACGAGTAGTAGTAGATTATTAGTAGACCATCCGTCTGAAGGCAGACAAGGTGTGCGGGATTCTTACCCACTAAAAAACTGGTGTACCTACGAGCGCCTTGCCAAAGTCACGACATCGCGTTCGCATTTTACCGCGACTCCATCGAAATTGGCCTGCCCTGTTAATCTTGCAGGACTTATGTCATTGTAAGGGATTAGTAATGAGGTCTAGTGACTATTGTTATACTAACACTGCCGTGGTATATCCACGTCAGGTCGGTCAGTTAGTCTCTATTGTATAAATTCCTGATGAATTTTTCACGATGGTTAGGATTAGGTTAGTCAGCCACTAACCTAACCTTATGCTCATCGTATCAGCGTATACCATTTGTGCAGGCGGGTGTACTATTCCATTATCATAAAAGAAAGATTCTACAGAGCACAATTTTACACAGAATTATTTGGTCCTTACAAGATTTGCATCTAGCAAACTATATAACGTAATAATAATTACAGATGGTTGTTTGTAGTGATGATGTAATATAATCATTATGTATATGTTTATATATAAATAAGCGTTTGTCTGTTTGTCAACAGAGCGACCAGTCGTCGCCGTTCCGGCGGTGGACGACGGGCAGCGGCGCTGGCAGCTCGTACCGTCACCACGATCACCGCAACATGTATAACAAGGTTGGTACCACTTAGATCTTTACATAGTATAAAATGAAGTCGCTTCGCTTAGATATTTTAGATCTAAGTGAAAGACGAATGCAGATGACACTCCAAACCCGTGGAAGGATTTATGGAGCGGCTGGAGCCAGGAGATGGCTTTCAGCCGCTCCGTAAGTCCTTGTCTGCCTGCTTGTCCTGTAAGACTTTAGTCTGTGGGCACCGATAGAGGTTCGAACCTCGCTCAGGTCGTCGTAACTTCGATCCCCGTTTGATTTGGACCCCTGATTGAGAGCTACCAAAACTAATATACTAATCACATAAATCTAATTAATTAGTTTATTCATAAATAATTTATTGATTTCTTTTGATATTCATTATTCATGAACAGCGCCACAGACATCACATTGTCATATGACGTCAATGGATGGTCCATTGCTATTGCAGAGGACTAAAGTGACATCTCTCTGTACTTTGTATTTTTTCAGGTTCAGTACCGATCGATCCCCCAATCGGAGGGGACGTATTTCGATGGAATGTTAAGTCTAAAAACGTATACGTTTTTACAACTTAATTGGAAATGGTAATATATTGTCAGCAGCAAATTAGCGAGGGCGCAGCACCTGTGCCATCGACGGGAAGCAGCGGCGGCGTGGCGCGGTGGTCCCTCGGCCTGGAGCAGCTCCTAGCAGACCCTGCGGGGGCTGCGGCCTTCGCTCACTTCCTCTCCAAAGAGTTCGCAGCTGAAAACATACGGTAGGTAGATCTCTTACCACAGGTGTTAGGATAACAATGATAATCCAGGATAATTCATTCAGCGCCATCTAGTCCCAAGATAAACAGAGCTTGTGTTAAACAAAACAAAAAAATATATATTTCAGTATGTACCCAACATACTGAAATATATATTTTTTTGTAATTGCATTCATAATATAGATAGAAAACACCCAGATCATTATAAACTATCATACTCATGAATACAAATATTTGTATCGTGCGAGGAATCGAACCAAGCAACCAACCAACCAAACAAGTTTATAGTAAATGGTATGTAAATGTGGCATCAGGTTCTGGTGGTCGTGCGAGCAGTACAGCGCGACCGAGGAGGAGGTGAAGCGCGCCGCCCTCGCCGCGGAGATCTGGCAGCGACATCTCGCGGAGGGCGCGCCCGAGCCCGTCAACGTGGACGCGGCAGCACGCCGCGCCGCCGCCCTCCGCCTCCACCACCAGCCCTCGCCCGCCGACCTGTTCACACAGGTACTGTTGACGACGACAACAACAACAACAATCGCGGAAGGCGCGCCCGAGCCCGTCAACGTGGACGCGGCAGCACGCCGCGCCGCCGCCCTCCGCCTCCACCACCAGCCCTCGCCCGCCGACCTGTTCACACAGGTACTGTTGACGACAACAACAACAACAATCGCGGAAGGCGCGCCCGAGCCCGTCAACGTGGACGCGGCAGCACGCCGCGCCGCCGCCCTCCGCCTCCACCACCAGCCCTCGCCCGCCGACCTGTTCACACAGGTACTGAAGACAAGAACAAAAACTACAATCGCGGAAGGCGCGCCCGAGCCCTCGCCCGCCGACCTGTTCACACAGGTACTGTTGACGACAACAACAACAACAATCGCGGAAGGCGCGCCCGAGCCCGTCAACGTGGACGCGGCAGCATTCCGCCTCCACCACCGTCGCCCGCCGACCTGTTATTTTCGCGGAAACCGTCAACGTTGCTCTTTGGCGGACGTTGAACTTTAAGAAAAAATTTTCATGGAAAGCTTCAAAAATTACTAATTTCCATACATTCCATCGTCGCCTATTTTATTTTAACCCTTTAAAAAATTTTGATCATCATATTTATTCATATTTAATCAACAGCCTAAAAAATAAGCTTCAAGTTTCTAGCTTTATGACGATACTTCCATTCAACCCGTTACAACCCTTTTATCGCATTAAACAATAGCCTATGTCCATTCTCAGGGTCCAGACTATCTGTGTACCAAATTTCATTTAAATCGGTTCAGTAGTTTTGGCGTGAAAGCACGACAGACCACATTATTGTATGTATGTAATCTGTATGTATGTAAAATAAAAGTGTAACATTCAGTTACTTAAGAAAAAGATAAGATCATGCTTGGTTTTGTATGGTAGGAGGTACACAGAGTTACTTTCGCATTAATAATATTATTAAGTAAAGTATTACAGGGCAGTACCCCTACGACAAATGTTTGTATTGTCACACAAATGTTTGTCTGTATACGGTTATCGTACTTGTGAAAGTGGACTCGTCTTTGACTGTCCGCCGTTATTTGTTCAATGTTATGTGTATTCAACAAATGATGTTGTTCATTCGAGGACAGTACTGTAAATAATGCAAATATTTGATCTTCCAAAACAAAAGCGCTTCCATAGTAGCGGACCGGTTTGTTGGACTCGTTACATATGATTTTTTATAGACGAGTCGGCTGTCTTTGGAAACTGATGTTATGCTATATAAATACACTATAAACTAGCGGACCCAGCCACACATTGATGTGGCTCAGGTTAAATAATATTGCGACTATAAATTGAGATGTAAGCTATCCTATCTTTCAAGTTGGATTAAATTGCACACAATGTACAAATCAATTTTCCGATCGGTTCAGTAGTTTAGGATTCCATCGCGGACAAACAACGTGACACGTAATTTTATATGTAAAGATATCACTACTAAAAAATAAGAGCTGATGGTAGAAGAGTGAAAACTTATTTTTAAATGTCGAATCATAAAAAAATAAAACTGAAAATTATGTCCACGAATATTCAGCCGTTCTTGAGTTTTAGCGAGACTAACGAACTGCAATACATTTATATATATATATATATATATATATATATATAGATTTGTATGGTGTGCAGGCACAGAAGCAGATCTTCAACGTGATGAAGTTCGACAGCTACCCTCGCTTCCTTCGCTCAGCCGAGCACGCGGAGTGTGCGCGCGCCGACCTGCGCGGACTGCCGCTACCGTACACCAACAACGGAGCCTCGGACACACCCGGCGCCAAGGTACTCTACACCAATCGTATTCTTAACACTAGCTGTACTCGCGACTTCGTACGCCTGGAATTTAACTTTATTTTCCTAAAATAAAAGTAGCCTACGTTACTCCTTATTACATCTATGCTACCTGCCAAAAAAAATCGTCAGAATCGGTCCAGCCATTTCAGTGATTAGCCGGAACAAATAGACAGATAGACGGCAGGTGGGAGTTAGCGTTTAGCTCCTCCTTAAGTCCTTCCGCGGGTTTGGAGTGCCATCTGCACTCGACGACTATCGTCCGGTGAAGCTGTAAAGGCCAGCTGCGGCCAACAGCATTAGAGTAGTCCGAAAAAAATTACTCCCTCATATTACAACTCATTCCTTCTATTATCAACACGCCATTCAAACCATACCACGTTCATATCACGTCGGGGACACCACTGTGGTTTGGTTGGTGTTTTGTTTGTCATTCCATTGACATAAAACAAACAATCATATTGTAGCATGCAAAGACTCAAACCCGCGACAATCAGAAGTGAGGCGGTAATATTTACATTGTGTATGAGCAATAAATATAATAAATATATTGTTCGACAGTTAAAGAAGTCTGCAAGCAACGCATCGGAGCGTCGCCGCAGCGGAGGCGCATCTCTGTTGCCGTGGAAGCTGCGGGCGCCGTCACGTGACCGCGCACAACACTCGCCCCCGCCCCCGGCGCCGCCCGTCACTGACGTGAGTACATCCACTCTCAACTCGTTGGATAATTGCATAGCAAAAAAATATCTTGTCGCGTTAATTGTTATACCACGGTGGTCTAGCGGTTTAAGCACACCGCCTTACTTGTGATGGTCGCGGGTTCGATTCCTCGAACGGCACAAACATTTGTATTCATGAGCATGATTGTTTGTATCGGCCGGGGTGTTTTCTATATATAATATGTATGTATTTACGAATAAAAATTTATGTATATTTGTATCAGTTATTGGTACTAGACCCATAATATAAGCTTTCGCCTGAGATTATTATTACATATGTATCTATATACATAGGTCTAAAGCATCTCTCACAAGCCCAAACTTCTTAATAAAAAAAATTGTCATTCAAAGTTTTAGCTGATCCTTCAGATTGCGCTACAAAACTAGGCAAAAAGGCATTTGCTCATTGATAAAGTGATATACTTATTAATTTTAAATTAACAAAGTACCTGGCAATATACTTTTAATTCATATCCCCAAATTACACGCAGCCCGAGTACGCAGGGAAGTGAGTACCGCGAGAGTGTAAACACGAGTGGAAACACTTCCCATGCCATTGGCGCTGCCACTCGCGCTGCCCGGCGCTCCCTCAATTGTCGGTTTTTCGTGCGCGAGTCAAAGGACTGGCAGCGCGAGTGGCAGCGTGTTTTTACATTCAGCCCTCTCGCTCAGTTGTCGCCCGGCAATATTTCCGACAGCGCGAGTGACAGGGGAAGCGGCTGAATGTAAACGTAGCAATAGAAAGACCCTAAATTTAAATGACATAAAAACCAATTATGACAATGCAATATTAATTCTTGTGAAATACAATCGCAATAAAATCATGTACAAGTTAATGTGATAGCGGTAAATAAATATTTAACAAAGACTTGATGCTATTCTGATATTGTTATGTACACAACTATATATACACAATCTGAAATAGAGCAATGGAATATAACTTGAATAAACATGCACTGTCATTTTCAATGGAAACAGAGGACTTGGCAGTTAGTATTAGAGTGAATTAAATAAATACACTCGATATTTACTTGCAAAACGGTATACTTTTAAAAATAACTTCTGTTTACTAACTGGAATCCAAGGAAAATGAGATTGAATGAAATTGAAATCTAACTAAATAATTAATGCTAGTGGTCATCCAGTGGTCGAAATTCGACAACGAAAGAGAGGACTTTTTAACATTTCATGGATTTGACAACCTCGGTAGTCTACCGGTTTAGTACACCGCCTTACGATGGTCGCGGGTACGATTCCTCGCACGGCACAAGTACACGTATATATGTATTCATGAGTATGGTTTCAATAGAGAATAGAGAAATTAATAGAAATGTCCTGCAATTTGTATTATTCTTGTGTTGCGAACAGAGATGTGAATAAAACGACATACTTATTTCCTATGAATGTTTTAATGCCTTTCACTTAATTTTTATTTTATTTTATACTAGCTGTTCCCGCGACTTCGTCGGCGTGGAATATAACTTTATTTTTCTAAAATAAAAGATTTTTTCTAAAGTAAAAGTAGCCTAAGTTACTTTTTCTTATATCAGCTACCTGCCAAAAAAAGTCCCGTCAAAATCAGTCTAGTTATTTCAGAGATTAGCCGGAACAAACAGACAGACAGACAAAAATTGTAAAAAAATTTATTTTGGTGTATGCACTGAATTTATATTCATATGCATGTAGTAAAAATTATTATTTCAATATTACAAACAGACACTCTAATTTTATTTATATGTATAGATTATATAGAATGTATTTCTAATTGTTGTAGGTAGTAAAGTCAAGTCAGTTAACGGCGGGTCAATGTTCGTTGTGCCGGGTGGTGTTACCCGACGGTGCCACCTCAGTGGTCGGTGTGGAGGAGTCAGTAACGGTCAGGAAACTGGTGGACAGACTTCTACAGAGGCGGAACTTGATGTGCAACACGTACGATGTATTGCTGAAGGATGGTAATCAGGTAAGTCCTTTATATTGTTAAATTGAATCAAATCAAAATGTATATACATGTATTTTAGGTGCTTATAAACGTTAATTTTTTGTATTAATATTGTTTCCCTACGTTCAGTTTAGTATCAGATATTAGATTCAATTAAGAATTGTAAAGAAACTCAACTGAGCTCTTTTAGTTTTAAAGCAAATTTTTTTTCGGGTTACGTTGTATTTGATGATGACGATGAGCGTGAGTAACGCACGTGGTGGTCGTCGGCAGTGTCAAATAAATGTAACCATTTTATTAAATAAATAAAAAAAGTCGATTTTGAATACGACGAGAGTGAGTAACGAGTGGTCGGTGGCGGTGTGCAGTCGTGGGGCGCGAGCGTGGAGCTGTCGGCGCCGTCGGCCGTGCTGGGCGGCCGCGAGGCGCTCGTGGAGCGGCGCGCGCTGCTCTACATGGAGGTCGGCGGCCGCCTGCTCACCGTGCGGGCCCGCGCCGCCCGCCGCCTGCGACACGTGCTGCCGCTGCTGCGGCCGCCCGCCGCCGCCGTCACCAGGGACGGCCGCGCAGTGCACCCGGACACGCTGCTGCAGGTACGTGTACGTGTACGTGTACGTGTACGTGCGGAGACGGCCGCCTGCTCACCGTGCGGGCCCGCGCCGCCCGCCGCCTGCGACACGTGCTGCCGCTGCTGCGGCCGCCCGCCGCCGCCGTCACCAGGGACGGCCGCGCCCTGCACCCGGACACGCTGCTGCAGGTACGTGTACGTGTACGTGTACGTGTACGTGCGGAGACGGCCGCCTGCTCACCGTGCGGGCCCGCGCCGCCCGCCGCCTGCGACACGTGCTGCCGCTGCTGCGGCCGCCCGCCGCCGCCGTCACCAGGGACGGCCGCGCAGTGCACCCGGACACGCTGCTGCAGGTACGTGTACGTGTACGTGTACGTGTACGTGTACGTGTACGTGTACGTGTACGTGTACGTGTACGTGTACGTGTACGTGTACGTGTACGTGTACGTGTACGTGTACGTGTACGTGTACGTGTACGTGTACGTACGGCCGCCTGCTCACCGTGCGGGCCCGCGCCGCCGCCGCCTGCGACACGTGCTGCCGCTGCTGCGGCCGCCCGCCGCCGCCGTCACCAGGGACGGCCGCGCCCTGCACCCGGACACGCTGCTGCAGGTACGTGTACGTGTACGTGTACGTGTACGTGCGGAGACGGCCGCCTGCTCACCGTGCGGGCCCGCGCCGCCCGCCGCCTGCGACACGTGCTGCCGCTGCTGCGGCCGCCCGCCGCCGCCGTCACCAGGGACGGCCGCGCAGTGCACCCGGACACGCTGCTGCAGGTACGTGTACGTGTACGTGTACGTGTACGTGCGGAGACGGCCGCCTGCTCACCGTGCGGGCCCGCGCCGCCCGCCGCCTGCGACACGTGCTGCCGCTGCTGCGGCCGCCCGCCGCCGCCGTCACCAGGGACGGCCGCGCCCTGCACCCGGACACGCTGCTGCAGGTACGTGTACGTGTACGTGTAGTGTACGTGCGGAGACGGCCGCCTGCTCACCGTGCGGGCCCGCGCCGCCCGCCGCCTGCGACACGTGCTGCCGCTGCTGCGGCCGCCGCCCGCCGCCGCCGTCACCAGGGACGGCCGCGCCGTGCACCCGGACACGCTGCTGCAGGTACGTGTACGTGTACGTGTACGTGTACGTGCGGAGAGACGCCCGCCGCCTGCGACACGTGCTGCCGCTGCTGCGGCGCCCGCCGCCGCCGACACGGCCGCGTGCACCCGGACACGCTGCTGCAGGTACGTGTGTACGTGACGGCCGCCTGCTCACCGTACGTGCCGCGGAGACGGCCGCCGCCGCGTCACCAGGGACGGCCGCGCCGGCCCGCGCCGTACCCGCCGCCTGCGACATGCGGGCCCGCGCCGCCCGCCGCCTGCGTGCGGCCGCTGCCGCCGCCGCCGTCACCAGGGAGACGTGTACGTGTACGTGCGGAGACGGCCGCCTGCTCACCGTGCGGGCCCGCGCCGCCCGCCGCCTGCTGCTGCGGCCGCCCGCCGCCGCCGTCACCAGGGACGGCCGCGTGCACCCGGACAGTACGTGTACGTGTACGTGTACGTGTACGTGCGGAGACGGCCGCCTGCTCACCGTGCGGGCCCGCGCCGCCCGCCGCCTGCGACACGTGCTGCCGCTGCTGCGGCCGCCCGCCGCCGCCGTCACCAGGGACGGCCGCGCCCTGCACCCGGACACGCTGCTGAAACGTGCGGAGACGCCTGCTCACCGTGCGGGCCCGCGCCGCTACTGCTGCGGCCGCCCGCCGCCGCCGTCACCAGGGACGGCCGCGCCCTGCACCCGGACACGACGTGTACGTGTGCGTGTACGTGCGGAGAGGCCGCCTGCTCACCGTGCGGGCCCGCGCCGCCCGCCGCCTGCGACACGTGCTGCCGCTGCTGCGGCCGCCCGCCGCCGCCGTCACCAGGGACGGCCGCGCAGTGCACCCGGACACGCTGCTGCAGGTACGTGTACGTGTACGTGTACGTGTACGTGCGGAGACGGCCGCCCGACACGTGCAGGTGCAAACAAAAAGATAGACCCTACTAGAAGAGAGACGGCCGCGCCGTATCCGACACATACAAATAGGTACGACAAGAGAGACGTCCACGCCGTGAGCAAACACGTGCACCCGACACGTGCAGGTATGAGGAGGGACACCTACGTGCTACTGACACGTGCACCCCGACACGTCCAGGTACAAGAGAAACACGTCCGCTACTTGTACCCCGACACGCTGCTGCAGTGTACTCTACAATGCTGTGCCACGAACTACTCTTGTTACGACGAATATAGAAGCAGATTATTTTCCAGCATTGAATTACAAGATGCAGGAGCATAATCTCCTTGATCCTAAAGTAGAATATCATAATTACAGATGCCTTGATTCACGATTATATTTAGGTATTAGATACACATATATTATATATAACAAAAGTTACTACCATGAGCGTGACCGCAAATAGTTATCCATAAATTCCAGTCAAAGAATCTTGAGTTTTCATTTTGTATAAAAATATATAGTATATATTAATATGAGAATGTGTTCCCGCAGGACTTGGACGGTGCACGGCTGCAGGTGGAGTGTGTGGAGAGAAGCGAGTGCGCGGGGGGTGTAGGGGGTGCGGGGGGTGCGGGGGGCGGGGAGCGCGACGACTGCGACTCACTCAGCGAGCTCGCCGTGCGGCTGCAGGAAGACCCGCTCAAGGACGCTGATACACTGGTCTGTACCTGACATGGAAAACTAAATACTTAATCATACCCTATTATTAGAAACCTGTACACGACTTGTCCGTTCCGTTCGTCGGCTGCTCGTGTAATGGCTTTTTTTGTCAGAGTCACTGTTCACAGGCCGCCATCTTGTGCCCAATACTATAGAAAAACCAAAAGTGATAACGCTATATTAGCTGAGAAGTAAGGAAAAAGATTACAGGGTATGGGACACAGCGTGTTACCCGCAACACAGTGCTTACAATAAAGACCCAGCAAAAAATATATAATATAATTAAAATACAAAAGAAACATTGTCTTACATGTATAATAAATAAGACATATAACACTGAAATGACTCGACTCAGCTTTATGGCATGTTTTATACAAAAATACCCCTAATTATCCATGGCAGTAATGCACATGTAGTATAAAATTGATTGATTGAGTTAATTGATCTCTGAAGAACAGAGTATACTAACTTATATCATTGCAATGATGGCCCAATTGGTGGTAACTGGAACCGTACATATGTACATGAACAGAAAAATGAAAGTCGTCTCATGTGTTGGTAGTCCCACTAAGATGCAGTTTCAGTCTCGTATCTGATTCTTTTAAATACAGTTTACAAAATAAACTGCTTCACTGCTGAAGTAAATGACAAAGGTTTTACCTAAACCTATTTTACTTTAAAACCTTAGACAGAGAAATTACTGGGTAGAAAGTAGTATTTTTGAACTGGATTAAAAGAAAGGATTGGGAAGAATCGCCTGGAGCACTAGTAATAATAATCAGGACAATTCACACAGCGCTATCTAGACCCAATTTAATCTAACTAAAGCTTGTGTTATGAGTATAACTAATACAAATACATATATAGTTTTTTTTCGTAAATACAACATATTATACATAGAAAACACCCAGACCGATTCAAACAATCATGCTTTTGAATACAAACGTGCGAGGAAGCGAACCCTCGACCATCGGAATTAAGGCGGTGAGCTAAACCGCTACACCACCGAGGTCATAATATATATTTTGTAACAATTATTTTATAATTATTATTTATTATTGAACAGAGCGTGAGCACGACCTGTAGCAGGCGCGGGAGTCAGGAGGCTGGCCGTGTGCGTGCCGCCTTAAGGCCCGGTCCACCGCTACATCATCATCCGCCAGGTATGTACGCACGCATCTTGCATTTAATATACAGAGTGTAATCATAAAGTGCATACTTTACTATTACCTGTATATTACTAGCAATGATTCTCTATTTGTTGGAAGGCTGTTAGTCGTAACCTAGTCGTCGAAAAGTCAACACTAGGCTTTTAAATTATATTCATATAATTAAATTAATTAAAAAATAATTTATTCATGTAGGACATTTTAACCGCTTATGAACGTCACATTTTTTACATTATTTTAATAATTTTGTGTAGTTATCCTTAGTCATATATAAAGTATAAAAGAGGGTAACCATAAATCTATATAAATTTTTCGATGATATCTTGATCGTAATGTTTGTTTTCAGACTTTCTAGAGAATCTCCGGGAGACGCAACGGCAGAGATTACACAGCAAGTGTGACGGCCCGCTGCCCCCGCTGGCGGCGCCCCGCTCGCCGCCGCCGCTGCCCCCGAAGCCCCCGCAGCGCGCCCCCACCCTCGTCTGATGGCGGATCAGCAGCGCCACGGGTCCACGAGATCTCCGAGAAACGAGGATATCCCACAACACGGATGAAATTCGTCAGATGGTACTACTTTGTTCGACATGATGCCCACGGATACCTTTTACCATCGCACCGCTCGCCATCGACAGGGAAGTTATCCCTACACGCTAGAACCTAAGTGGTCTCGGACAGTGCGGTTTCAGAGGAGCTTCCTCCCGCGTACACTTAGATTGTGGAATGAACTACCTGCCGAGGTATTCTCGCAAAACTACAGCATGGGGTTTTTCAAGAACGGTATATTAAGGTTTCTCAAGAGTCAGCAACGTGCATGTGACACCCCTGGGTTTCAGGCGTTCTGACTACGATAACCACCATCAAATGGGCTGTATGATTGTTGGCCACAATTGTAGTATAAAAAAACCCATGCATGGGATGAACTGGCCTTCATACCTTGGTGGCTACTAATGGTTGGTTTGTTACAAGCCAAGACTTTGTAATCAAGTTGCAGATTAAGTGTTCCTCAAAATGAACAAGAAAATATTGATTTCGAGGTCTATAATACGGTCGGTTACAGTAAGAACAGTGATTATCAGATGTGCTTTATAAGTTCACCACTGTGATAGTGTTATAAATAGTAATGATATAATCTGTTATAACCACAGAGTATGGTGCTTATACATTGCACGAAATCGTTAGTCAAATTGTGTGTTGGAAACTATAACGTTTGATTTTGACGATTAAAAATTTATGTTATTTGTGTATCTAAGTATTATTTCACGAATTGGAAATTGTATTATTTTAAATTATAGTTTAACAGAAAGTGAAAACATAGCGTGTTGTAGAATATGTACAGCGCCATCTATCGTAAAAAATGTGAATTAATCCCGAGACTTTACAACGCTTGCCCTAGAAGTGCAGGATCTGACTAATATTTTAACTTTCTGGTATCGTCACAGACTTCGCTGAGCGACATCTATTATCATTAAAATGAACTATTATACATTTTGAAAGGACTCTTACACAGGTGGTCTATTCTTGATACTTGATAGCAATTATGATTCATGAAATTGGAATGTATCATACCTTTTCATGTATGTATGTATATGTATTATATTGGATGATGTAATTGATTAATGTTAAACTCAAGATGAGAACTATACAGTAGTGAAATACTGTATGAAAAATATGCACATTTTTTTTTATTTTTCTAAATATCATCATGATAAAATATTTGAGTTTTACGCAAGCAATGTTTACAAGATATACATTTACCGTATTCACAAAAACGTAAAATTTAGAATTTCTATACAGAAGAGGAAAGAGACGAAAAATTTCTGTCATAAATAACAAAATTATTAAGTTAACGAATTTTTTATTTGTATAATAAAACAAATAGAAATCTGAAAGTAACTATTTCGATGATTAAATATTTACGTTATTTATGTAAAATTATCTGTTATACAAGATAGTTCCTTTGTGAACTCGTTAACAATTTTATAATTGTGCGTTTAACGGCCTTATGAATAAGATGTGTTTATTTACATTTCGATCTGCTATGGAGTAATGCTTTAATAAATATAAGATGTTTGGTTGTAGATAACGTAATTCATTCCATAAAATGAACGATCGTACAAGTGAAAAGTGAGGTTGAAACGGAGTGAGGTTGAAACTGTTGTATTTTTTTTATTGTAAATAAATTGTAATTAATAAATTGATGCCTTCCATAGTACATAAGACTGCACTAATTTAGATATTCGTGTAGGTATAATGCCTCTTTATCTCGACGTAGGGTACTGACGAGTAACTATTAAAATTTAAAATACTTTCCTAAATGTAAAATATTATTGTAATTTTATAATAATAATTAGTTTGAATAATTCACACAGCGCCATTTAGTTCCAAGGTAAGCAGAGCTTGTGTACTCGACAACTGATATAATTATTTTTTGTAAATACATATTAAACATAGAAAACCTTGTGTTTTCACATCGTACTAATATCCTATTGGCGAATGTTTATTATACTAACGCTTAAAAGGCAGTATGAAATTTTATCTATTTATTGTGGAGCTAAAAAACACAAAACTAAGTTTCATTATGGATTACAATATGAAAAATGAATAAAAAACTTTCATAAGTATAGTTATAAGCATCAATACCCTTATGTTTATTACCACCGAGGCAATTACTAACAAGAAAGTAAATAAATATGTGTACTATTTATAAGTGTAGGTACCGAATAGACCATAGTTAATTTATTGTTATAATACTTTATAAATGTTTAATGTGCAATGCTGCATTAATATACATTATTGTTATAGAAGACATTGGTGGCTAAGATAAAAGTGAATGGCAATAAACTGATTTTCAAGTGTTTTAGTTGTTTTACTCGCTTTTTATTACTTACTTAATCTACCTAAGGGCTTTTTGGGCTGCAGCCCAGGCCCCAAGGATTCAAAGGGCCTCCAGTGCTCACTGAAACGTTATTTAGAATATAAAAAAATATCTAATAGGATTTTAAAAAACCTATCATAAGGTTGGCAACCCTGAGATCAATCAACCCATGTAAATGCGCGTCTATCGAAAGGAATGGGTAATTTCTGGTCGCTTGTTTTTGATCGGTGTATTTTTTTAGTTGAGTAATATAATTAGGTAGGCCCCTAAGTAGATTTAGGGCCAGGCCCAGGGGCCCACAAATTCTCGATGCGCCCCTGCTTGCTCTGCCCGCAGTTTACCCGCATGAAATTTATAGATTATTAGCTGTGGTCGCAATTGCGCGTTAAATTTTAATAGAAAAAAAATATAGTCTATGGGGCTGTTCAAGTATTACGTAAGCAGATTTATCACAATTATTTACCCCCCATCCCCCGTTGTCAGCAAAAGTAAGCAAAGCTCTTACCCCCTCCACCCATGCTTATGTTATTCTCATGCATAAGCTATATTACTGTAAAGTTTCATCGAAATCCGTTAAGTAGTTTTTGCGTGAAAGAGTAATAAACATCCATCCATACTCACAAACTTTCGCGTTTTTAAGATTAGTAACGCGTACATTCGACGTGGAGTCCTAACTTGGACAGCCTTTACAGTTAACTTCCATCTATGTTGTATGAAGAGGTACTAGTGGAAATGTTTCAAGTTTTGACAGAAATATATAATATATAAAAAGCAACAGAATTTATTACTAAACTATTTTTTTACACAGCTACATTATTTGTCGGCTATAGCCGGAGTTTCTTCCTCCTTTGCTTCCGGCTCTGGTACCGGGTCCGGTTTACAGCGCGTCAACTTGGAGGGTTCTTTAGGCGGCGCCCAGTCGGGTATGATCTTGTCGTGCACACGCCAAGTACCGTACATGTTGGAGAGATGTTTCTCGAAGACTACATACTCGAGAACGTCTTTGGCTAGTATCTCACTGCCGTGAATGAGCCGACCGAACCGATCGTACACGGCTAGCTGCTGACGAGTGTGAAACCGGACGGTTACCTGAAAATAATAATAATATGATTATTTTCTCTACAAAAATATTGACATAATATACAGTGTAACAGATCCATTTATTTTATTTTTTACTAAACTTTAAGGCACACAATAAAATATATAGTACAGTACATTTGGCGAACTTAACACCATTTATCTAATATCATTACATAGTATAAAACAAGTGGCTGCAGCTGTCTGTCTCCATGTATGCTTAAATCTTTAAATAAATAATAATTTTTAGACAACACGATCAATTTTGTTAGTAACAGCTTAATAACATAACTTATCCTAAGTTAGTAATAACATAAAAAAAAAATTAAACAAAATAAAAATTTTACGTATTACCTGTCCCAGTCAGTCTGGACCTGGGACAGTCTATTTTACAAGCAATTGCCTTCAGGACACAATTCACAAGTGATCAATTCTAGGTGAATTTGTCACGATGGGCTAACTGACCTGACCTCATGTTCATCTTATCATCCTCCACTGGTGCCCCGCCAGCGTAAACCGTTAGCGCAGGCGGGTGCACCATTCCATTATCATTCACAAAAATAGTAATAAATCGGGGGGAAAGAGGACTGTTAGTAATGTGGACTGATAATCTCATTGCTAGCAATGTACCATGTCAGGTTGACCTCCACGCGGTTCCCTCTGGAAACTATCGTGATAAATTACTGGTGAATTTGTCACGATGGGCTTACTGGCCTGACCTCATGTTTATCTTATCATCCTCCATTGGTGCCCCGCCAGCGTAAACCATTAGCGCAGGCGGGTGCACCATTCCATTATCATCCATTAGAAAAAAAAATAGTAATAAATCTACGCAACGGATTTGGAAGCGTTTTTTTTTAAATAAATAGAATTATTCAAGAAGGAAGGTTTATATGTATAATACATGTACACCCGTGCGGAGCCGGGGTAGCTAGTTTAATGATAAAATACAGATTTGTAGGGCACTGCATGTACTAGCTAGGGTATCAAAAGACACTACAACTGCTAGTCTATCTATCTATTGTTAAACGGGTGTATGATTATATGATATATTAATGAAGTATGTAGACACATCATATTGCAATGATGAGGCTATGTTTTATAAAAAAAAAATGTTTTTCATATATATTGTGACCTACAAATGTAATATTTCTGTCAAACTTAAGACCCTTCCTTTCCCTTTCCTTATATATATCTATGTATAGTACCTCTCCAGATAACCTAGATATAAGTTAAATGCAAAAACAGTCCTCGTTAGGACTCCGCGTCGAATGCATGTGTTACTAATCTTATAAACGCGAAAGTTTATAAGTGTGGATGCATGTTTGTTACTCTGTGCAAAAACCACTGAATGAATTTTAATGAAACTTTACAATAATATAACTTATGCATAAGTATTGTAGTAATGTGAGTAACTTGTACATAGTAGTATAGTGCGTTATAATTTTCACGCGAGTGAATCCGCGGGCACAACTAGTGTTTGATAAATCCAATACAAACCTGTCCAAATATGTTCTCTTTGCTAACGATGTCGGTGCACCGAGCATGTACTATTCTAGGCGGCTCCAAAGAATCCAAGAACCTCCATCTGATCGTCTTCAAATATGAATTGTGCCTAAATTCCGGATAAGCCTTCTCAGTAACATATAGACGTAGTGACTTCTTGTCGCCATTCACTAAACTCTCATGCGCTGCTATGTAAATCTTCTGTGCTAGTTCGGGAAACTGTTTTGTCTCGAATTCCTCTTCGTATGACTTTATTTTGCGGATGGCCATCATTGATTTTGATTTTTTCTCAAGTAGTTCGACTGTTTGTTTGGCACGCGTGGTGGATATGACCGATGCTTTGCCGTCTCCTTCTGGTGGTACATAGGGTTCGAACACACCACCTGCAATTATAAATCGATATATTGTTGTACTTTAAAATTATTTAAATGACAAATGTGCATGTCAATAGTAGTTTATGCTACTGGGATTGTCTCTGAATATCAGACATAGACACCTAAAAATGTACACAACGAAAACTAGGTTAAAAAAAAAAAGGAAATACAGTTGAGTTTTTGTCATTAATAAATTGCTTAAATCCTGGCAAGAACCTGATATATTTTATTAAAAAAAGGAAAATTAATGTAGGAGAAGAATGGAAAGAATTAGCTGGAAAGATAAAATAAGGAATGAAGAAGTGCTTAAGAGGATTAAAGAAAAGAGACAGATCATAAAAATTATTGAGAATAGGCAGGGAAGAATATTGGGCACTTGATACGACACAACTAACTATTGACGACGACAACATTATTGAAGGAAAAATAGATGGAAAGAGAGGAAGAGGAAGACCAAGACACAGCTATATTAAGCAAGTTAAAGAAAAAGTTGGAGTTGTGTTGTATCAACAGCTAAAAGGACTGATGGAAGATTGTGGAAGGTGGCGTGAGCTCCACCGACAAGAGCACAGCTCTTAAATTATGAATAAATGATTGAATGTAGGAGTAACATGGGTCTAAGAGGGAAGAGCATTGTTAGTAATGTGGACTAATAACCCCATTACTAACAATGTACAATGTCAGGTTGACCTCCACATGGTTCCCCCTTAAAAACATTGTGATAAATTCACAGTAAATTTACCAAGATGGGCTAAGTGACCTGACATGCTCATCTTATACTCCACTGGTGTCCCCCAGCATAAATTGATAGTGCAAGTGTGTGCAACATTCATTATCATCCATAAGAAAAAAAACATAGGTCTATATCAACCCAGGGGTCTATGACAAACTGCAAATAGTCTATGACAGTGGTGATCTTGTTGTTTTTACTTTATGTTTTTAACACTAAACTTTACTACAGTTATAAATTTACAATCAATACCAGGTAAGAATGGGGGATCTACCCAAAACAGAAAAATATGACAAAGGGTCTATGACACAAAAAAGTTTGGGAACATCTTATCTAGACTATTGCAACATCAAAACAGAGTGATAATGGCAATTTAGTTTTTGTAACATAGGAATATAAAAAGCCATCACAGTTTTAAAAGAGTTAGGTAATCTCAAGTTGGTCCGATAGTCTAGAACTTCAAGTTCCATTATTACATTGTAACTAATATTATGTGAAAGTGAGATTGTTTGTTATATATTTACGTCTAGACTATTAATTCAATTATGATCCATTTTGGTAGACTTTCTTTGTTATCAATATCGCCAAGCCTTTGTTATGATGAGATATGAAAATAAAAAAAGGATATCAAAAAATGAGAGAGTTACAAGAATGAAATATGAAATAAAAAATAAATAACCACCCACCTGTAGCAGATATATAAAAAGGTCTCTCCATCCATGGTCGCGGTGGAAGAAGGCCCCGCTCTTTCATTTTCTGTCTGATTCTCTCTGGAGACATGGCACTAATATCCTCATTGTGATCAGGTAGTTTAAATTTCATAAATTTTAGGGCTCTAAGTTTTTTAAACTTGGGATCCCAATGTTTTGATGTTGTAGTGCGCATCGACTGAATGTAGACAGCTGCAGGGGAAAGCCGCATAGCGCCCATCTAAGAATTATATAAACATATTAATTATAGAAAGACATCTAAAAGAAACATACAACATTTGAAAAAAACAACAGATGAGTAGTTGTTGCTAGATTGCTCTCTAATATATCATTACAGATCAATAATTATAAATATTAAATGTGGCCGTTGAAATAAAATTTATTATGCGTTAAAAAATAATAAACTAAAATATAATTTATAAAAGAAAATAACTAAAATTGTGTACTCACTTTTGACAATAGTGAATTGGCCATGTTAATGTTTAGTTGTTTTGTACTGTAACATCTATTTGCTGTAACATTTAATTGTTTAAATTAAATAATAATAAATAATATAGGTTATATATATTTAATTATATTTTGGTATGACGGATAAATGAATGATATTCAGCGATAGATTAATCGATCATTGAATATAAATCGGAATAATCATCGATATTAAGTAGTCTGTGCGATGATTACTGGTATAATATTGATGTTTAGATATCGATACGTAGAATTCTAAATAAGTAGTCTGTCATGTTTAGTCTTCCATAATACATCCACGGTAAAAGAAGACACTAAAACGGCAAATAAAAATATTAAAACAATGAATATTTCTCTCTTCTTATTTACAGTACATCGATAACTAAAGATCGATTCTCCATGTCCTCTTAACATCGACTATTTTTACGGAATTCATAATATGTTGCCACCTCGAAAATTTAAAGTTTTCTTAGGAATGCCATTTAGCACACAAATATTATTTATCTGTATGATAACGCTGTATTGATAATTTATATTAGCTAATATTTAAAAGTATTCCGACAAAATGTCAAATATTACTTCTGGATAAATTTATTTTAATATGCAAAATTAATAAAAGAAGAACATGTCCGCAGTTAAGAAAAAAAAATGTCTATGGTGTTTTGTTTTTCTGCCATTTTTAGTCAAATAATTTCCATTCAAGTTGTGATTATTTTGTAAAGTAATGAAAAATTTATCAAATTTATTGTGGTGTCTTTAAAAATAGTTCTATTTATATTAAAACTTAAAAAAACTTACTCTTTTTGAATATTGTGAAATTTTTATTTTTCATGTTTTTAACTTTAACCCATCTAAGGGCCCTGTATTTTGTATTTTTAAATTATTTGACGTGTTTGTTTCACGAGAAATTATTATAATTACTAAAACAGAATGTTATAATTATTCTAGAAGTTAATCTCAGTCAGGCTGTTTGAATAACTCGTCATAATCGCACCGGAAATCCGGTGACTCCGTACACGTTCGCGTTGTCTCTACCCCAAGGGAATAGAGAACGTAGCAAGCGTTTCTTTCTTTTCTGAACAGGCGCAGTCCAAGAGAACTCGCAAAAGGAGTAAAAGGCTCCTACATAACCTGTCAATATGTAAGTATTCGTGCACACATTGAAAGTAGTTTGCGCAACGCGTTAGGTGCGTAAGTTTTTGGACACAATTGCAGTCCTTGCTGTGTGTAGAATATTGTGAACTTGACAACTATATACGATATTTCTTCGGGCAATCTATCCCTTGTCCAAGAAACAGCCAATTTTACAGTAAGTAGAGCGTCAAGAAGACGCCATAAGTACGAAGGCTATGTCCCTAGTTTGCTTGCTGTGAATTCCGTGGCGCAACGGGGCGACGACCCCGCGCCTAACGGGCACCACCTTTCATGTTATTATTCTCATTATCCTAATTGCCACGTGTTTTTGTTTCAGCAATAAATTGTATGAGTCAGAAGGTAGAAAAACCAGTATTATCGGGTCAACGGATCAAGACCAGAAAAAGAGGTGAGTTTCTATGATTTTTTAACGATTACTTCCCATGTCATTGAGTCGGTCGCATCGTCGGTGAACACCTTGACCATGAAAGCACGAAGGCGAATTATTTTCCTTCTCTAAGTGTGTCAGCCCGGTTATACATCATTTGTTTATCAAACAAAGAACATTTGCATCCTGAATTATGTACATAGGTTATTTATCGTATAATTTACTATTAATTATTACATGTCCATCTGAACTTACGTTTATCATCTACCCCATTTTGATGCATCGTATTACTTTAAATTATAGGTATATTGATTCCATGCTACCTGAATTTTTAAATTTATGAAGTTAGTGATGTTTTTTTTTATTAGCATCATCATCATTATTTTGAAATATCTGAAATCTTATGAATAATGTAGTGAGGACATTTTTGGTTATATTTTGTGTTTGTGACTCTAAAATGTTGGTGTAATTTAATATATTAATACCCTCTTTTGAAAAACTAAATTAGTGGGTAAATGTAGTCATTATATTTTGAAATATCTCTAGCATATGAAGAATGTATTAAGAACATATTTATTATTTTCTGGAAACCATTGTGATAAATTCTTGAATGTGCCACGATGGGCTGACTTGACCTCATGTTCATTCTATCATTCTCCACTGGTGTCCCGCCAGCGTACACTAATACACTAACACTATAAAAAAAATACCAGCTTATGAAAATCCCAATTAATGGATATATGTACTTCCTTTGTTGGTAAATTTATTGTTTGATGCAGAGACAAATGCAGGTTTGAACTTTATTACCTACTGGTAGAATTGGTTCTTGCATCCAATAAGTAAATTATGAATTTACAACAAAGAGCAGGCAGGATATTGATATGAGTAATCAGTGTTTTATAGCCACTATTGATATAAAACTAAGTCAGTATGTAGTCTCAGGCCAGTATGTACTAATGGATTATAACTTGGTTTCTGTTTAAATATTTGTTAGTCACATAACATATTAAGTATTTAAATTATTTGTATTACAGACAGATATATATCATTACTAATATTATAAAAGCAAAAGTCAACACGACTTGCTTTTATAATATTTGTCTGTCTTGCTTTCAAGCTACAACCACATGAACGGATTTAAATGAAATTTGGTACACAGATAGTCTAGACCCTGAGAAAGGACATAGCTTACTTTTAGGAAGTATCATCATTTTTTAAAACTAAAACATTGAAATTTATTTTATAGGCTATATTAGGCTTTGATAAATATGACATAGTTTCTAAAAAAAAATCTTTTTTATTTACATTTAATTTACTTTTATATTAGTGGTAGCTCTTAGAACAAGTTGCATTATGAATAAGGCTTGTAATAATAATTGTATTATATCTTAGCCAAGCAGAACTTAACTTGTGTACTAGACAAATGATGTGACTACTTAAATATATTTATTTTTTTGTAATTGCATACATAATATAAGAACACCCAGAGCAATACAAATAATAATATTCATAAATACTAGTTTTTGCACCATGTGAGGAATCATACCTGCTACTATCAGAAAGTCAGGTGGTGTGCTAACCCACTACACCATAGAGCTTGTCATGTTGTTTCATAAGGTTGTGACATCTTTGATATTAGAGGTTATAGTCTATGGAATTATGGACCAACAGCATTAGAATTGTTTGAAAAAATGTACAAACTATTGTAATGTTTGTTAAATTTATAATGTTGTAAATATAAGGATATTGTTTAGTGTATTTACATTTTAGTTTCAGTAGTGTTGTGAAATTACAGACAGTGATTCATCATGACCTCCATTTATAAATAGTCATTATTTTCCTGAAACTGCTTGACACATGTTTAAATAAACATTTAAACAAGCCATATGTTTGCATTAAATATTTTCAAAAAATATAACATGTTCTATTTATTCCGAGTAATTTATAAAATTAATTACGCAACACAAACACACTGGCAGTTTTATTATTCATAACAACTTATCGGCTAAACTAATCATCATGAAACTTTTTATATAACTAGTTTTTGGCATGAAGTAAGACACTATTATTCAGGTCAATCAAGGTTCATTAATACTTTAAGAGCTGCACTCTTGTTGCTGGAGCTCTTGTCATTTTCCTTAGTTGATATAACATGACGAACATCTAATTTTTTCGCTAATCTTTTTGATATAAGTTATATGTTATCATAAATGTGTTTAATAGTAGCAAAAAAATACAATTGTATGGGTTACTTTGTCTTAGATCTTTCAGCCACTGAGCAATTATTTATGTACTTGAAATGGTAATGTATGCAAGGCTACTAAACAAATGTATAGATTTATTACATACTAAAGTTCTCTGAATTTAATTATTTTTTCTAAGATGACTTATTATTTATCAAATCAAAAAATCAAAAATAAAAAAATGGTAATGTTATTTTCATGTATGACGTTATATTAGCCGCTTATGAATGTTATTTTTTTCCAATTTTATTTATAATATATTTTATAATTTTTCCATCAGATAGACTGTCAAATGGTGCAGTATCAACAAAGACTCTATACTTATCTTATCAAATATAAAAAAATAATTTATTAATGTCGGACATTTTAGGCATGAAAATTTTTTTTCCATTAATATTTTTTATGATTTTCTTTTATGTATATAGAAGCCAGTTTATTTTATCTGAAGGTGTATGTGTAATTGTTGTTATTGTTATGACACTTGGCTATGAATCACCATGGCCTTTATTTGCAAAGATTTCTGACAATCATTTCGGTTGATAATATTATAAACTCATCTCCATTAACTGGTATATTGTTAACCTTACAATTTTTACTCTAAGGAAATAGCGTTACGTCATCATTGTTATATAATTATAATGGCGTTGGTTTTTTTTTATATATGATAATGAAATTGTGCACCCGCCTGCGCTAACGGTTTACGCTGGCGGGGCACCAGTGGAGGATGATAAGATGAGCATGAGGTCAGGTCAGTTAGCCCATCCTCGCAAATTCACCAAGAATTTATCACGATGGTTTCCAGAAGGAACTGCGTAGAGGTCAACCTGACATGGTACATTGCTAGCAATAAGATCATCAGTCCATATTACTAACAATCCCCTTTCCCCCCTGGCGTTGGTGTTGCAGCTGTTTTTGGTCTCAAGTTCCAATGGTTTCAGGTTCGATTCCCAGACTTGTTTGTTCCAAACATTGTATTTGTATTGGTTAGAGTTAGTTAGTAAAAGGTATAGTAGAAAATACACACAACATATTGTCCTAGACGAAATTAATTTTTTATCGAATAAAATTTTTTCAAAAATTTTCAGTCCGTTTCACTATTGTTACTGTAAATGGAATTATATTACTTTGAATTAAACAAAATAATATTAATCTAATAAGTCTTAAGAAAATATTTGTTAAAAACTTCATGTTACTACGCGGTTATGTGAGAATTATAAATTTAACAAAAAAAAACTTACTCTTTGTTACTTATTGAAATTTATACAGTTTCATGAGTCTTCTACTTGCTTTGTTGCATAATAAACCCTGTGAAAATCCTGTGCAAGTTTATCGTGAGAGGAATCGAACCTAACCATTGCAAGTAAGATGGTATTTTTAATCGCTAGACCGTCGAGGCAGTCATATATTATATAATTTACGATCCTGTTTCAATAATATGCTTACATGTTATGTATGTATATTTAAGTAAGTTAAGTTAGCAATAAGGTTATCAACCGTACAAAGGTTTCTATTTTTAATAACCACGGAGTTGACAGTCAAAGTCGAATGTTCAGTTTTATAGAACAAACACAATGTTATTCTTAAAATTTACTTTAATAATTCTGACTATCATCCTGACTTAAACCCCTGAGTTACCCTGACTGACATCAGATATGTGTGAATTAATAGGTCTAACTCTCCGGTAATGGAAACACTTATAAGAACAATTTCATTTACTATTCTCTATATAGATCTTATGAGACGTCCCAACGAAATTTATATCCAATGTTGCGTTCACTTCCGACAATAATAATAATAATCTCAGGACAATTCACACAGCGTCATCTAGACCCAAGTTAAGCTAGCTAAAGCTTGTGTTATGGGTTAACTTATACAAATACAAAGATACTTATTTTTTTTCGTATACATATTTATTACATACATAGAAAATACCCAGATCGATACAAACAATCATACTCATGAATACAAATGTTTATGCCCTGCGAGGAATTGAACCCGCGACCATCGGACGTAAAGCGGTGTGCTAGACCGCTAGAACACCGAGGTCGACAATGTCTCTGAACACCACGTCTCGAATAACAGGGGTGAAGGTTTACCTTGTAATTATAAAACAAATGTGTAGTATAAATTGCTATAGCAACACCACATGGACAAATACCTAAAGTGGCTCCTACATCTGAGTACCCTGTCTGGTATAGCAGGCGTGAAGGTTTTTTATACTACTACTAGCTACCCACCCCGGCTTCGCACGGATGTACATGTATAGATAAATCTTCCTCTTGAATCACTCTCTATATTTAAAAAAAACCGCTTCAAAATACGTTGCGTAATTTTAAAGAGTTAAGCATACATAGGGACAGACAGCGACAGCGACTTTGTTTCATACTATGTAATGATGATAATGATATGGTACATTGTTGACGCCGTTTACTTTGTAATTACAAAACAAATGTGTGATCTCAATTGCTATAGCAACACGACATATGGGCAAATACCTAAAGTGGCGCCGATCCGGTCATGTCCATATGTGTCTAGAAAGACATATGGCCATGTTGAAAATAAGCTGTGAAATTATTACTGTTAATAATATTAATTGTTACGACTTCGTCTCCACAATCTTTATGGTTCATCCCTTTGAAGGTATCTAATATACCTGATGAGTTAGAGCAGAGATTCCTAAAATGGTCTGTATCAACCCCCTTAGGGGTCTACGGCAGCGGTCATCTTGTTGTTTTTACTTTGTTTTTAACATTAAACTTTACTACAGTTAGAAATTTA